CCTGAAGCAGCTTTTGGGACTGTGTTTTTATAAAATAATGTGGCCCTTCCCCTCGTGATGAGAAAGAGAGAGGTCACGTTTTAAATTTCTTTCATGAGAGAGAGACACCCCCGACAGGTCCCTGCCCTGTGACCCATCCAGTCTCAGCCAGCCTGCATCAGGGGCACACATGCATGTACATGCAGCGTGCCCGGGGTGTCCCAGGCCACAGACCGGGGCCCTTGACCCATGGGTCCACATAGCTGTGCCACCACCTGGCCTCCGGTGTTTCTGACGACGGCTTGCCCCGTTGCAGTGCTTCCGCCCAGCCTCCCTGTTAGCTAGAATCCCAGACATGCCCCACAGAGCCTGGGCTGCTTGGGTCAGGCTGGGAACCAAAGCTGGCCTCGCGGGCGCCCTCAGCCACCACAGGGTGTGCTCTTCTCGTTCCATCAAGCTGGCCTGTGACGCTTTAATTATAAACGATATCCAGGGCTCAGCCTCGCGCTGCAATGCTGTGCTTTACCGGTGGGGACCCCGTAGGATTCCCAGGTTCACTCCCCAGAGCTGCATCCAGGTGGGCAGTGGTGTGCACCTGTAACCCCAGCAACCTGGGAGAACGGGGCAGGTGTATGAGCCCAATGCTTACCTGGGGGAACCAGCAGATGTTGTAATGGTTATGTCACTGGACTGCCATGTAGTTGACCATGGTTCAAGTCCTGGACCTGGTGACTTAAAACTCACAGCAGGGGAGGGGCAGGTGGCATGGTGGTTAAGGGCACTGGACTTCCACATGGCCAACTGTGGTTCAAGTCCTGGACCTGGTATCTTGCTTTTTCACTTTCTCTCTCACTCTGTTCCTCTCCAGCCATACTAAAATAAATAAATAGATAAAATGAAATAATTCTTTTAAAAACACACACACACACACTTGGGACCAGCAATTGACATAATGGCTATGTCGCTGGACTCCCATGTAGTTGACCGCAGTTCGAGTCCTGGACCCAGTGACTTAAACTCACACTGGCGCGTGTGTGTGCATGCCCAAGATCCCGAGAGGAGAATGGAAGAGAAGGGATTGCAGTGTGGCCATCCCCCCTGGGGGGTGAAACTCATACTGGGCGCATGTGTGTACATGCCCAAGATCCTGAGAAGAGAATGGAGGAGAAGGGATTGCAGCATGGCCATCCCCCCGCCCCGGGGGGTGATTTCTTGCTTTCTATCTCTCAATCTCTGTCTTTCTGGCGAGCACACACGCCCTATAGCAAATACCTCTCCCCCCAAAAAAAAAAAAATCCTCATGCCAGGCGTGTGTTTGTCTGTCCAAAATCCCGAGAGGAGGATGGAGTAGAGCCCTGCTGGGAGTTGATTTCTCACTTTCTGTCTCTCTGCCTCTCCGGTGAATGCATACACCTTATAGCAAAAATCTCTCAAAAAAAAAAAAAAAAAAAACTTACCTGGGCATTATAGCAAGACCCCATCTTAAAAAGTGCCAGGCATGGTATTATGGCCTGGAATTCCACCTGGGAGACTGAGACAGGGTGATCAGAACAGTGGGACCTTGTCTTAAAGTAATAGGGGCCAGCAGGTGGCGCGGAGGTGACTGCAGCTGGAACCCATGTGACTGACCATGCAGTTCAAGTCCTGGACCTGGCAACTTGAAAAACACCAGCACAGGGAACCAGCAGTTAGCGTAATGGCTATGTCGCTGGACTCCCACGTAGTCGACCGCGGTTTGCGTCCCGGACCCGGTGGCTTAAAACTCACGCCGGGCGCGTGTGCGTGCGTGCCCAAGATCCCGGGAGGAGAGTGGAGGAGAAGGGATTGCGGCGTAACCATCCTCCTGGGGGGTGATTTCTCGCTTTCTGTCTCTATGTCTCTCTCTGTCTGGCGAGCGCACGCGCCCTATAGCGAAAACCTCTCCAAAAAAAAAAAGAAAACAAAACCCACCAGGTATGAGTAGGCACCCAAAGTCCTGAGAGGAGAATGGAGGAGAAGGGATTACAGTGTGGCCACCCTGTCGGGGTGAGTTCTCACTTTCTTTCTTTCTGTCTCTTCAGTGAGTACAGGTGCACTGTAACTTAAGTAAGTAAGTAAAGTAAAAACACAGGGCACGTGTAAAGTAGCTCAGACCCGAGCAGACTCAGTGTCTACAGCCAGCATGCTCTTTCTCGCTGGAAATTCTCGGGCTCCAGGGTCATTGTTAACAACCTGCTGGGCAGCCCTTCGGTTTCAATACCTGAGAAGAGTGGGCCTCCTGCAGCCAAGTCTCACAGTATTGCCAGTGGCCTTTGTAAGGCCTCTCCAGAGCGAGGTGTGGTGGCACACGCCTGTGATCCCAGCCGCTAGGGAGACTGAGGCAAGAGGATTGCAAGTTCTAGGCTGTTCTGGCAACATAGCAAGATCCTGTCTCTAAAACACAAACGCAGAAGTGGTGTGGTCCATTTACCTAGGCGCCGTTGCTGCCTGTTCCAGGGGATGAGGGCCCGACCCCCAGACACCACGGCGTATAGCACGTTTTCAGCAGCCCCAGCCTCGCCTCTGGCCACGCTGCCCTTCAGCCTCCCGTCCTGTTCCCGGCCCTCTCTGTCCTGCAGGTGGAGCTGCCTGTTGTCACCTGTCTGTCTCGTGCTCTGCTCCTGGTGGCGCAGCACAGCTCAGCCACCTGCGCCGCTGAGTTGCTGGGCTGCTGGGTGAGCGGGCCGTGTGCACTGTGGCTGCATGCTGCGCCAGATGTGTTCCGACGCCGGCCCCACCTGTGCGGCCCAGTCTCCGGGTGCTCCTTCTGGAGGAGACCCACACGTCTGTGGGTCGGGGTGTCCGAGCCGTGGGAAGGAGGCGAGTTCAAACAGCGTTCCTCTCAGCTCAGACCAGGCTCAGGGAGACGTCCTCGTGTCGCGGTGGGAAAGTCAGTCCACCCCTGTCCCCCGGCAGCCGCTCGCCTGATCGTCAGAGCATTTGTGACAAGTACACGTGCCCTTTGTACCCACGGAAACAGAGAGGGCAAGACCTCAGACCCCTGCTGAGGCGAGAGGCCATGGAGGCTCTACGACAGTCTCGACTTGGGAGTGACGTTTCGGTGGGGGAGAACACAGCCCTGGCTGCTGGCCTGGGCTGGGCTTCACCGCTTAAGCGCAGAGCACTGGGTTTCGGCTTGACAGCTGCCCCGGGAGCTCCCTCCGCCAGCGTCGGGGTGTGTCTGTGGACTTAGAACCTGGCCCTGCACCCTCCTGTCATTCCTGGGCTCAGGTCAGTCTGCCTGGCTTCGAGTCACACAGGTAGCCTCTGTGTCCGGATCCGTTCCCCTCGTGTCTGAGATTTACCGATGTCGTGTCGGCAGCTTTCCCACCGTTTTGCTCGGAAGTGTGCCACCCACCGAGCGAGTGCACAGGGTTTGTGGCTGAGCCTCCCGTCGGCGGTTTGAGCTGCCTCCCGCGGGGGCTCCTGGGAACATAGTGGGCCTACGCGGTTCTGCACACGTTTTCATGGCCACGCTCATCTGTCCTTGGTACGTTCCGGAAGTGGAATTGTTGGGCCGCAGGGCGCGTGCCAGGCTGCTTTCCCGACTGCTCACCGTCGGTAGAAAAGTAATTGGGGTCATTGTAGACGCCGGTGTAGACCAGACGCCCGGAATCAGTAACCCCGTGTAGAACCAGCTTTAGTTGTTGAAACGCTGCTCAGATGAGCTCTTTGAAACACAGTCCAGAAGACAGCTGAACATTCCAAGTTACTGGCTGTCGCGTAGATACTTGGGGAGAGGGCCTGTCACCCTCGCTGGTTTCAGCCGCCGGGATCTGAGGCCGCGCCTGCAGTTACAGAGCTTGGGGACTCAGAGCTGGCGGCCAGAGCCCGGCTGGGGATTCCTTTTCTTCTGGAGGCCTGCGGCGCTGGGCCTCTGTTGGAGGGTGCACCCCCTGATCGACCCTCGCGTTTCATTTTCTGCTTTCCTCTACAGTCTCCCTTCTGGGAGGTTTCTTCAGTCTGTCGTCCAGTCCTACTTCAAAATTTTTGAAGTTTATTTATCTCATGAGAGAAGCAGACAGGCACCCTCGAGTCTCACACCATGACCACCCCTCCCTCCAGCCTTCCTAGGCAGTCGGGGTCATGGGGACATGGGCCTGGCATGCAAGGCACACCTCATCGGCCACGTGGCTGCAGCATTGCCTGAGCTGCCATTGTCCCCACGGCTGGGCCCTGTTTAAAAAATTTTTTTTCTCTTTTTTTTTGTAGAGGTTTTTGCCTTAGGGTGCGTGCACTCGCCAGAGAGACAGAGACAGTGAAAAGGGAAAGTGAGAAATCACCCTCCGGGGGCTATGGCCATGCCGCAGTCCCTTCCTCATTCTTCTCCTGGGATCTCGGGCACATACACACGTGTGCCTGGTGTGAGTTTCAAGCCACCGAGTCCAGGACTCTGAACCAAGGTCAGCCACGTGGGAGCCCAGTGAAAACCGCTACGCCATCTGCTGGTCCCTTTTCTTTAAAGGTTTTTGCCTTTGGATGTGTGTGCTCACCAGGGAGAGAGACAGTGAGAGGGAGAGAGAATTCACCCCCTTGGGGGGATGGCCACGCTGCAGTCCCTCCTCCCTTCTCCTCCTGGGATCTTGGGTACACATGCACACACACCCAATGTGAGTTTCAAGCCATTGGGTCCAGGACTCAAGCCACACTGGACCATGTGGAAGGCCAGGGCCGTAACCGCTACACTCTCTGTTGGTCCTGTCTTTTACATTGTAAAATTCCACCTTCATGTTGTTATTTTCGGTGACCAGGATTTTCTCGACGGGACCCCTTTTTGGCTCATGGGTACAGCTCCTCTCCCATCCCTGAGAGAGAGCCATGGCTGTCTCAGTCCAAGGCCTCTCCCGTGCACGGTGCCCACGCATCTTCCCTCCTGGGTTCGGTGCAGGCGGGGCTGTTCCCTGGTGACCCTCGCCTTGGGGAAGCCCTGCAGTGACTGACGTTTCTGGTTGGGCGCCTTTTCTATGTGGCATCTTCGTTTTTAACCTCGGTCTTTATTCTGGCCGTGCTCGGGGCAGTGGGGGGTCTGTTCTGTGTGTGAAGTAGCCTGTCCTTACCCAGAAGCGTGGCAGCGTCATGGTCCACTCAGTCGCTGGACTTTGGACACAAGTTGGGGCTGTTGAAAAAACAGGAGGTTCCCCACGGGCCGATGGAGCTGCCCCGCCAAGGGCACGCACGTCTCTGAGAGGGGCCCGACGTGTTTCGGCGATGGCTACCAGCGCAGTTTCTGCACCATCCCCTTGCCAGGTCGCGGGAGCCTGCGTGTCCAGGTGGCCCTCGCCCGGTGCCAGCGTTTTCCTTCATGGCCTGCAGCTGCCCCGTCCGGCTCGCTCTCCACCGCTCCTCACCCCTGCCGTCAATTGCATGAAGGCTTGGCATACAGGCCAGTCCGATTTGGCCCGGATTAGTCCTGAGGATCTGGAGGGATTTGGGCGTGTAGATTGGTATTTAACACGGGGCTAAAAGGCAGGAGGCAAAGAGCCGGTGTGAAACTGCTCCGTTCCCAGAATTGTCGCTCGGGGGCTGGGGAGCGGGGGACAGTGATTTCATAGTTGAGGATAGGCCTGGCTGACGGAAATCAACGTGTAAAATGTGACGTCGCTTTTTGCAAATATCGGTCACAACCTAGAACTCTACACACTTTGCCGTCATAAAATGCAAAGCTTTTCTGATTGGCTTTTATTACCTTTCAGACCCTATCACATAGGACAGCATGCACCTGAAGATTCTGAAGAAAAGGCACAAAGCGTTCAGGTGATGCTCAGAGTCACTCCGTAGGTAAGAGCTCACTCCCGTGGCGGTCACCGCCCTCCTGACAGCCGGCGCTGGCGCGGACCTGGCCACCTACGTGCCGGTGCCGGGATAGCACAGCAGCTGCCGAGATCCATGGCCACCAGTTGGTCCGTCTTTCCGGCTGCTGTCTGGTTACTGCTAAGCCCAGAGAAGGAGGGTGCTGCGGGTTGGGTTGGTGACAAGATGAGGGGACCCTAAGGAGTCAATGACATGGAACGTTTTGCCTATGTGGGTGTCCGCCTGAATGACAGAGGTCAGCCCTGTTGCTCGAGTCTGGGAAACGGCCTCATTTAATGTGATGATAAAGAGCTTCGGTTCAGGAGTCTAAACCAAAATCCCATTAAAGCGCTCACCGAGTGGAGGGCGACGACAGGACACCTGCGGGACAGCCATCAGCACGTGGGCTTTGGATGCTGTCAGGAGCATGGAGTCCGGGGGACCCGGGGCTCGCTGTGGAGCGGGGCCCGCCTGTGAAGGGGTGCGGCACCTCTGCCCTCCCAGCCCTGTGGCTTCGCTGCGGGCAACACACAGGAACGGTTTCTCCACTTCCTCCCCTCCCTTCCTGCGGCATCGCCGGGTAAACAGTGACTCAGCGGGCGCGGGCACCTGCTGGCCGAGCGCCGACCCTTCGCCGGCCTGGCCCGGGCACTGCTGGCTTCCTTGACAGAGAGCGATTTGTAGCTCTCCGATTCGCTTCCTGTCGACTCCTAGTGGGTTTTCAGGTTTGGGGCCAAAGCCCTCAAGCGTGGCTCCTCCCTGTCCGAAATACACTTCCAGGAAGGGCCGCTGAGGTGGTCTTTGTGGTTTCTGCAGGACTCCCTCACACGGGCAGCCTGCCCCGACCCTCAGGCCAGGCCTCCTGCCGCAGGCCGCCCCGTGTTTATTTCTCCCTTGCGATCTCGGTACATGGGCAGCCCAGCCGTCATGGATCTGGGACACGGGTGCCTGTGTACTCACAGCGGTCTCCTGGGTGACCCCGGAACTTCCCCACGTGGGCGGCCTCACCGAGTGTCACCGTTGGCTCTTGGCTGCCATGTGTGTTTACAGTAACAGTGGAGCGGCCAAGGGCAGGTGGGAACACGCCATATTGAAGGGGGCGTGTAAGTGTGTGCTCATACACATGTGTGCGTGTGCACATACACACGTGTGTTGCTCTCAGCAGCTGTGCTTCTCCCGCAGGGCGTGTCAGGGCCACCATGCAGCCATCAGGACACCGGCTCCGGGACGTCGAGCACCACCCTCTCCTGACTGAAAATGATAGTTACGACTCCTCCTCGTCCTCCTCGTCCGAGGCCGACGTGGCAGACAGGGTGTGGTTTGTCCGCGACGGCTGCGGCATGGTCTGCGCAGCCATGACGTGGCTCCTGGTCGTCTACGCCGACTTCGTGGTGACCTTCGTCATGCTGCTGCCATCCAAAGACTTCTGGTACTCGGTGGTCAACGGGGTCCTCTTCAACTGCCTGGCAGTGCTGGCCCTGTCCTCCCACCTGAGGACCATGCTCACCGACCCCGTGAGTGGCGGCCGCGCCTGGGCTAGAGCCCGTGGGACCAGACGTCTCCTGTCCCAGCCACATCTGGCTTATTGTACCCGGGGACACAGACTTGCAGCGCTTCCTGCGTGCTGTCTTCCCGTCCCTTCCGCCCACGTGTACCAGAGCGGGAGCTCAGGCCGCAGCCTTCTCCCCGTCCTGTCCTGTTCGGATTTGGGGCACACGTTCCCAAGCTGCTGGGGCTGGGGTTTGAACCACGGTTGGCCACGTGATATCCGGCTCCCTTAACCCCACGCTGGGTGTGCAGTGGGATTGAGGGAAGAGGCTCTGGGGCAGGGACTCCCCTGTGGTGTGTGCTGCTGCCCAGGGGGGCTGCTTCTCTCTGGGATTGGTTCCTGCTCCCTGCCCAGGGAAAAGGCCTTGAAACTGACAGGAAGCCCGCGGGCTAGAGCAGGTGACTGCAGACAGTCGTGAACAGGGGTGTACGGGCACCTTACTCACTGTCCCTACAGGGGCGGGTGGCGCACTCGGCTGGGAGTGAGTTCACTGCAGCAGCCCCTGTGCGGTCAGCGCTTCCTGGTCAGTCACAGAGTCTGCAGCCATGGCCATTTCAAGACATCTTGTCACCCCCAAATGCAGTCCACAGCCCCGGGCCTCACTCCCCGGAATGCTGCCCCAGTCCCGGGTGACCACTGACCTGTCTTGGTCTGGATCCGCCTGTTCTGGACACTTGACACAGACGGGTCCGTAGTCTCCTGCGTGTAGCGTCCATCGTTCAGCTTCACGCTTCCGTGGCTCTTCCCTGTGTGGGGACGTCTAAAATCCCACGTGAATTCCTACGTTCACCGACGGTTTTTTTCTTCTCTCCAAATAACTCATCCTTCTCACCCTGCAGGGGGCAGTGCCCAAGGGGAACGCCACGAAGGAGTACATGGAGAGCCTGCAGCTGAAGCCTGGCGAGGTCATCTACAAGTGCCCCAAGTGCTGCTGCATCAAGCCCGAGCGTGCCCACCACTGCAGGTGCCGTGCCCGGGGACAGGCCGGTGCCCAGTAGTTGGGGACACAGACCCGGGCCCCTTTCTAGCAGATGGTCAGTCGTGTGGGTCCGCAGCCTGGGCAGTGGCAGGCCATGCACTCCGGTGGCATGGCAGCCTCAGACTGGCACGCATGTGCTCAGTCCACTGGCTACACCCCACATGGGGTCCAGCGGGAGGTGCAGTCTTCCCCTCACCTCTCCGGGTTCTTCCAGCCAGAGGGGAGTTGCTGCAAGTTCACCTCCGTCCTCCCCTGCCATGGGCTACGTGCAGGTGCTTCTGGAATCTCTCGACCCTGGTTATTACATACGTATTTTTAAAGCCAGAACGAAGGTCTGCCTTCTTCCTGGGCGTGCCCTGCTGGTCCTGGCTGCCTTTTGCCCACTCCTGGCTCATGGGGAGTCTGCCTGCTACTGGGGGGCGGGCACTGCCTCCAGGAGTTGCAGCGACAGGCTGAGGGTATTTCTCCCCAGTAAAGTAGCTGTTGAAGCTCAGCTCAGGTGCTCTCAGAGCGATGGGGTGTGGCTGTAGGTTGGGCCTTGCCGGCCACAGTGAGTGAGTGAGGGGAGAAGACAGAAACGAGGGTTGCCCGCTCAGTGTCGGGCGAAAGGTTCAGAAAGACTCTTATCCACACAGTGGGTAAGAGACAAAGATGAAGGGGGACAAGATAGCTGGGCTGGGTGAAAACGGGGAAAGACTGCATCTGAGCGTGAGGTTTCCTTCTGGGGCCATGGGAGCGCCCCAGGGTGAGAGAGCAATGGCCTCCATGTGCCGCAAGTGTAGTGAGACCACGGAGGCGCCCTCCCACGTCCGCACGCTTGTGTGGTGTGTCAGACACCCAGGGGGTCTATTCAGGGCGGCTCTGTAGTTTAGCAGCGAAGAGAGCCAGAGCCCACGTGGCTGCCTGTGGTTCGAATCCTGCCCCAGGTCCTGACAGGACGGAGAAGTGGAGGAGGGCCTGTGGCCCTGTGCCCACTGGGGGTGCTTCTCTCTCCGTCTCCTCTCTCTGGCAAGCAAATGCACCCTCTAGCAATGAAAAAAATAAGTTTAAAAATAAAAATATCTGTTTAAAGAAATGAAATGGGAGCACCTGGGAGTTCTTAGATTAGCAGGTATGTTAGAAATGGCTGAGAAAGGGAGATTGGGTAGAGGGCATGCTCCCAGGGGTGCTCCTGCAGGGTATGCTCCCACGGAGGGTGCTCCTGGAGAGCGTGTTCCTAGAGCGTGCTCTTACAGAGGGTGCTCCCGTGGAGAATGCTCCCACGGAGGGCGCTCCCACGGACTCTTACAGAAAGTGTGTGGCGCCGAGAGGCCTGCGTCCACATGTAGCAGTGTAATTAAATGACACAAGCTATCTCTAGAAAAATGACTGTTGGCAGCCTCGGGCGCCCTTGGCTTAGCGGGTGCTGTTTGAAATCAGACGTAGGAAATGTTGGGGCAGAAGTAAATCAGCTGGAAATGAAGCTCTGCACGGGGTACGGAGTTGGATGGCATGAGACGAGGTGGGTGGAGCTGCCGGAATGTCTCTCCCTGCACGGAGACGTTCCATGCTGTTTTATATTGAACTGGACTTGGGGCTTCGGAGCTTGCAGTTCGGGAGCGTTATCGCTAAGCGTCTGTGATGGGTCCAGCCAGGAGAGCCTGGGACCAGGGGAATGATGGCTCCATGTACCTGGCTCCGAGCCTGTCAGTCTGGGCAAGGGAAAGCGTGGGAGTTCATCAAAAACAGAAGTTTTAAAAGAGGACCCTAGGTGTGGTAGAGATTTTTGGCACGTTACACAATGGGACTTCATAAAGTTCGCGGGAAAATGGCTGTAAAATATGGGTTTATTTCAGTGCAAAACTTTTTGAAACCAACGCAGACTTTTTCATAATACGCATTTTCCAAGAACTTTTTCTTTAGAGGTTTTTGCTATAGAGCGCTTGTGCTCACCAGATAGGCAGAGACAGAGACAGAAAGCGAGGAATCACCCCCCCAGGAGGGATGGCCATGCCGCAATTCCTTCTCCTCCATTCTCCTCTCGGGATCTTGGGCACGCACGCACACGCGCCCTGCGTGAGTTTTAAACCACCGGGTCCGGGACGTGAACCGCGGTCGATTACGTGGGAGTCCAGCGACATAGCCATTATGCTAACTGCTGGTCCCTCCATGAACATTTTGAGGATCCTTAGAATATATGACTTTTCCCCTTTTAGTTGTATCACTCTGGTTTCCTCAGAGTAGGGAATACTGACCGTCAAACTCTCATTTTCAGTATTTGCAAAAGATGTATTCGGAAAATGGACCACCACTGCCCGTGGGTGAACAATTGTGTAGGAGAAAAGAATCAGAGATTTTTCGTGCTCTTCACTGTAAGTAGAAATATTTTCAGTTTCCATTTCTTTAGCAAGAGTCTTGCTTGCAGCGGGGGACACTGAGTCTGACCTCAGGGCCGTGTCTCCGGCTGTCCTCCGACAAGCTGTGCTGTTAGGTAGCAGGTCGTCCCAGCAGCAGAGCGGCTGTCAGCGGTGGCTGTGTTCTCTCGGATGCCTTAAATCACCCTTGGTAGCAGGCTCCTCCAGGAGCTGAGATTCCCTGCCACATCGCCCTTGTAACAGCGCTGGCCTGACTGGCGTCTCTGCAGGCCGGCGTCAGCTATGACCTGACGCTCCCCTCCTTGCTCCTCTTCTGACGAGCGAAGTGGACTCTGGACACCCTGCCCGTTGACCTTTGCACTCAGAAAGGTTGCCTGGCTCAGGACTGACGGGTCTCCCCTCCTTCCAGATGTATATAGCTCTGTCTTCAGTCCACGCTCTGGTTCTCTGTGGATTCCAGTTCATTTCCTGTGTCCGAGGGCAGTGGACTGGTAAGCTGGACCCCGCACGCCGTCCGCAACGCGTATGCCTTTCCACTGAGCGAGCGAAGTTTAAAGAAGGGGTGATTTTCCGGTGTGGAAGGAAGTCCTTGGCTAGTCTAGGAGGGAACTGAACTTCCTTAGAAAAGGACATAGTTCAGTTCAAACCCTGCCCTGTGCTCAGAGCAAAGCCCAGAGCGCTCTGGTGCTTCTGTAGTCAGGCATTTGTTCCAACTCTCATTTGTATTTTGCGTGTTTACGTTTTTGTTTATTCATCATAAGGCATGGTGGGGGAGGAGAGGGAGGGGCACCCTCCTTGGGATCTGGTCATGCCGCGATCCCTTCCTCCAGCCCCTGGACCCCTGGACCCCAGGCACTTAACCTCCGGGCCTGGCACGTCTCGGGCAGAGTGGGAGGGGGGTTGAACTGTGGTTGCCTTGTGGGATCTGGCTTCTCTTGAGCCGGTGCTTTTGCAGAATTTTGAGACCAAGGAAGTTAGCTTTGCCCCGCTGCACCCGTGTGGTCCTCTGGCCAGCAGGGCACCTCCCACACGTCGCTCCGCCAGAGTGAGCCCAGGCAGGGCATCGTCGTCCAGCCACAGAGAGGCAGTTGGGCCCAGGAGTGCATCCTACTCCAGGGGCCAGACAGGGAATGGATTCCTGTGGGGACCACACCCAAGTATAAACACGAGACTCTTCCATTTTTAGTGGCATTTTAAGTCATGGATACAGGGCAGGGGACCCTCAGGCAGTTCACAGCTTTCGAACTGCTGGCCTGGAAACAGGACTGTGAGTCTTTGTCCGGAAGGGCTGCCGTCCTTGCTCCTGGAGGGCGGGGGACGTGGCTGTGCACAGAGCAAGTGCGTTCCTCTGCGGGGCCTGGTGCTGGCCCGGGTGGCCCTCTGCCGATCCCCACCGCCTCGGGCGTGCTCGCCCTGACTGGCACACCCCTCGTGTCTGCAGAGTGCAGTGACTTCTCGCCCCCGATAACTGTGATCCTGTTGATATTCCTGTGCCTTGAGGGTCTGCTGTTCTTCACGTTCACCGCAGTCATGTTTGGCACCCAGATCCACTCCATATGCAACGACGAGACGGTAGGCTCCCCTGGCTGCCGGCCTTGCTGGGGGTCGGGTGGAAGCTCGTGTTGACGGGAAGTCCAGGGCAAGCAGCAGGTGCATGTGTGTGGACTTGGGAGCTGAAGCGGTAAGGCTCGGTGGGCGCCGGCAGGTGCTGGTGTCTTCCGGCCCTTCCTCGGGCGCGGTGCCATGCGTCCTCCAAGTCTCCCGTGGCTGAGAGTCCACCGAGCGGGCGGGCAGAGCCAGCCCTGCCCCAGCAGCAGCGAGTGCGTGAGTCTGGGGGCCAAGCGCCTACACGCCTTCACTGCAGGTGAAGAGCGGGCGCTCGGTAACTGCAGGGGAGGAAACGCCAGAGGCCGCCTGGCCTGGCTGTCCAGATGGGGTCACGGCCCTGCGTCTGCTGGAGCCTCATGCCAGCGTGACACACAGCCCACCTGTGTCTTTGGGGGCCTCTGGAGCCACACAGTTGCTTCTTTCTGCTTCTAGGAGATCGAGAGACTGAAAAGCGAGAAGCCCACGTGGGAGCGACGGCTGCGGTGGGAAGGGATGAAGTCCGTCTTTGGGGGACCCCCCTCACTCCTCTGGATGAACCCCTTCGTCGGCTTCCGATTTAGACGACTGCAAATCAGACCCAGGAGAGGCGGCTCGGAGTTCTCTGTGTGAAGCTCCACCGTGCTGGGGCAGCAGAGGGGCCTTGCGCGGGGCCCGGGCGCCGCGGCTCCCCTGGACGTGGCCGTGCAGACCCGCTGCGTGCAGCCAGCAGGGCTTCCGTCCAGCCGCGGCCGCACTGCACCACGCCCACCTCGGCCTGGACAGCTGACCGGAGGGCGTGGCCACACCAGGCCAGATGTCCTCTTCCTGCTCAGTTGGGACTTCCGTTAAGGATGCTCTGCGCTGTCTAAGAAGTTTGGGATATTACATGGGCTATTTGAATCCTGTGTACTGAGCTGCTTTTTTTTCAATCACGAAGAAGAAACAACGTCAATCCTGTGAACGAGAGGTCTCCCCGGACTCAGGGAGCTCCGGGTGGCCTGTGGCCCACGGGCACACTCCCCTGATGACAGCAGGGATGGACACAGACGGGGCCTCGGCCTCGCCACCTGACGCCCTGCATGGGAACTGCGAGACGAGAGGCCCACGCCCTGAGCAGTGGGGCGCCTCCTGGCACACTCCCCCGCCCTGAGAGGCACCCTGGTCCCTTCTGTGAGCCTGTGTGTGCGTGCGCGCGCGTGTGCATGTGTGTGTTAAGCCCGGCAGTGTTGTCTAGGTGGCGTGTCGTGACGGCTGTGTACAGCAAACAAGCTATTTTTTAGAGACCGACATTTCAGGGAAGAGGGTCGCACGTGGCGGCCCCGGGGTTATTGTGAATGTACGCATGTCGGAGAGTGTCCCGATCCAAAGAACAATCGTCTGGCTCTTCACGCCCTCCTGTGCCGACGCTCCTTAGACGGTCAGGGAACCCATTCTCCCGATGCTCCAGCCAAATTGGGTGTACAGATGGCACCTGTGAGGAGGCCGGGGCGTGGGAGGGCGCAGCCTGGCGCCTCCGGGAAGGCACACGAACGTAGCCAGCCCCGAAGGGCACACCCCTCGGCACAGCAGCACCGAGGCCACGCCGGTCAGGGTGGCGGCAGCTCACCGCTGTCTCCGCCCCAGCACAAGTGACAAAACAGGATCCTTGGTGCGAAGTGTAAAATTGTACCAGAAAGCAAACAGCCCCCCTCCACGGGGACTCGCCTTAAACTTGCCTGGTTCACTGTCCCCGGCTGCATTACGAAGCTCCCGGCGACCGGTCGAGGGCCTTCCCTTAGGTCTGCTTCCCAGGCTCAGAAAGTGGGCGTCTCCCCTGGGGGCTGTCCTGCCTTCCCGTTCATCTGTGAGCTGTTCAATTTTGTTTCCCTCACCCGATCCTAATCAGGGCTCCTGCCACGGCTGAGGCAAAACCACGGGACCGACTGCAGCCCAGTCTGAGCGCAGGCACACGGCCGCAGGTGCTCCCGGGCGAGGCAGAGACGGCTCACTGGGTGGGCCGGGACAGCCAGCGGCAGCGGGAGGGGCTCCCAGAGGGCGTGCGGCAGGTTCGTTTGCACATCCGGGTCGGCTGGATGGCTGGACGGCTGGCCTCGGTGAGGCTGCGTGCCCTGTCATCAGTAAACGACGCGGTTGGCTGCAGGGCTCGCAGGGCGGCCGACCAGGTATACTTGACTCCAGCCTCCTTTCGATGTACCTTTTCTATGAATAAAGCAACCAGTTGACAGTTGTCACCGTGTGCGAGTCGCCTCTGCTTCTTGACCCAGCGGGTACAGGCCTGCAGTAGGTGGTCGTGGTCGGCAGGTACTCCGCCCCGTCCTCCGCCCCAGGCTTGTCGAGGGCTTTGCTGAATTGACTCATGTTCTTGGCTTAGTGTTCCCGACAGACCTAGCTGCTCAGTGCACGTTGAAATGGCAGCTTAGACATTCTGCAGCAGAACCCCGCGCATTTGTATAACGTTTGCATCTCGAGAGCCTCAGAAATGCTGCTGGGGACGGGCTGGCAGGTCAGCGAGCCTGGGGGCCTCCACCCCGGCCGTTCAGAAGCAGAGGGCCCCTGCCATGGACAGGTGGGACTGCACAGTGGCAGCCCTCGGGCGTGTGGCGGCCTCTGTCCCTCCCTCCAGACGGTCCCTGCGCTCTCTGCCTTGAATCAAAGGAGAAACGTCACCCAGCCAGGAAGGGGACGGGCCCAGCTTTCGGTCATGTGGGCGCTTTGGTGGCCATAGGAGCAGAGAGCAGCTTCAAGGAGAGCCACACAAAGGGGTGCCTGTGTGTGCCCCGGGAGGGCGAGGTCTACGTGGTGCTGCTCCTTCCCTGGCGTGGCACAGATGGGCACCGAGCGAGGGGACGACCGGGGTCCGCGGCCTGAGCTGAGGGACGGGGATGAATGCTCAGCAGCCGGGCCTGGGGGGAGTTTTGAGAAGGTTCTCAGGAGTCCGTGAGCCAAAGGCAGTTTCCCAGGGCTTTTGCTGGCCTGGACTTCACTCCGCCCTGCTCACTCCATCTGCTCCTCCGTAGTCAGTGTTAGGACCGAGCGTCTTGCTGCTTAACCACGTGGTCCTAGGATTGGGGTTTTTGGGTAGTTTCCCACTCTGCCTGACAGTCGGCTTGTCTGCTGGTGTGCTTTATGGCCGCCGCCACCGCGTCACGC